AGTGAGTTCTGCATTATACATTCATAAAATGATTCTGTGTTCCTCTGCAGTGCTTTCCCTGTCCTTTCTGGAGTGTGGGCTCCGAGTTAGGGTGTGAATCAACAGAAGAGTTTTGTCTATTCTGAGGAAGGTTTAACATTAAGAAACAACTGAGCTTGGGCCTCCCCTGGTGGCGCAGCGGTTGAGCGCTGGGCTGCGAAGCTTCCCGCAGCCTCTGCAGTGCCGGTTCGATCCCTGGCCACTGGGCGAGGGTCCCACATGGCGCGCAGACCTCTCCTGCCGCGCCCGCTGCTCCCCTCAGTGGTGTATTTCATCAGTCTGCCTGTTCTGTTCCCCACTCTGGCTCTGGTGAATTCTCTCACCCTCCCGTGCTTCTGATTGTACCCAATGCTTGTATAAATAAATAAATAAATCTTAAAAAAAAAAGAAAAAGAAAAAGAAACAACTGAGCTTAAGAGTAAGAGGATTCTAGCAGGCTAGAGGGTAGAGGAACATTTCAGAGGGAGCTAGAGGGACAGAAAAAAGTGGCAGAGTCTAGAACTGATACCAAACGCCAGCCTCTGTTTCCTTTCTTCGGGTGGGCACCAGCTTGCTTTGTTTAACACATAATGTTTAACTTCCTCAGATGTTTAACTTCCTTATTATATTCATCGGGATGTTCTTCCTTGTCCTTAGAATGCAAGAGGACAAACCTGTTAAATGCAGCAGCTAGGAATGCTTATCTGATGGGGCAGGAGGAGAGACTGGTCCTGTTCCTCTGCATCAGAACAGGCAAAGAGCATTAATATGAAAGCAACTGTTAGGTTCTAACTATGCCTAAGGAGGATCTAAAAGAGAACTTTTCCACACTTGTTCTTTTGGTCTGGCCAAGGAATCCCTTAAGGAAGAGATAATAGAAGTTGAATGTTCTTGGATTCTTCTTAATGCCAGTGGAGAAATGAGGACCATTTAATGTAACACGTTTGCTCTTTTTGGAATTGAACTTTTCAGTCCATGCATCGGCTTAAGGATAGGACTTATAGGGGGACCTACGCCCGTCCTATTCCTTATGAATTTCCTCTTATCGATGGACAACAAAACTGATAAGGACAATGAGACAGCAGATTTCCACCAAGAATATATAAGCATCTTTCAAATTTGGACAACTATGGAACGCTTCCTAATCCAGGAAACAAAATAAATTCAGCATCTGGGACATCATTGAAAGAGATGACATTTCCAACCCAAGTGATATCTATTCACCTGCCCCGTCATCACATTCAGAAAATCCCCAGCAGAAGGCTCAAGGAGCTTCCGGTCTCCCATTTCAGGGCACTGCCGTGACAGTGAGCTCTCAGTACCAACTGGATCTCAGGAAGGCCACCAAGTCTGTCAAAAGCTGGTTCCCCAGATAACACTAACACAACCTTCTTGATCCAATGAAGCCAAGTTTATTGTTCACTGTATTGAGAGAAAGCAGCAGTGCCCAGAGTGTCTCAGAGAAGGAAAGGTGAGGTCAGAATTGCATGAGGTTTGAAAGTCTGACTTAAGGCAGATCTCTCAAAAACCTGGTAAGTGTTGGGTAAGGATCACAGTACCATAGTCCAGGATAGGTACAAGCACCAAGGTGAAGACTTAAAGGCAAGAAACTCAAAGAATCTCAGGAATTTTTTTAGTAAGTTTTTGAAATGAACAATCAAAACCATTTGCTAGGGCATCAGATTCCTGGAAGAAGGTCATGCTAATGACACAAGGAATGGCACAAGGTCATATTCCATAGAAAGGGACTTGGGGCTTTGGCTTTTCAGTGCCCAGTCTAAGTATAACCTAATTATAATTATAGGCTATAATTATAATCTAATTACTAAGATCAAGTCTTAGCTCTCACATCTTCTCCCACAGTCTCATTTGAGTTAAAGAAAATCTTTGTTACCCATTTATTATGTCTGCATGAGTCATGATTTTACCTATTCTTTGAAAATTATGTTTAGCACCAGAAATTAATGGTAATTGGGATTATCATTATTATTTATATGAAACTCATAGAAATGCATGGACACAAATCTCCATCCTGTCCAATGGGTGCTCACAGATGTGATACATTTTCATCTTCATAAATCTCCCAGTTGGTTGGGTATTAAAAACTTCATATTGTTCCACATTCCACATCCTTTCTGACTTCCAAGAAAAATATTACATCTTTAGTCTAAGTCATGCCTCTACAGCAGTTCTTAACACTTTTTGTGCCATTGACTCCTATGACTGTGTGGTGAAGTCTACAGGTCCCTTCTCAAAATATTGTTTTTTAATTCTTGGGAACTGGGGGGAAACAAGAACATAGATTATAGAGAAAGCCAAAAAAGATGTCATCAAAAAGATTTTATAAAAATAAATCTGCAATATAGAAATACAAGTATGTCTATTAATACATTAAGTCACATGTTTCAGTAGCAGACCCGACTGTTATTGTAATAGAAAGCATAGAGGATATTTTGAAATAACTGTAAAACTATAACAGCATATGGAAACATCTGAGGTTCTGGCAAATACAACTATGTTTTCTTATCTATATTCCTAATGAAAAGGCACACATATTTCAGTGAGAAGTAAGTGATAATCAAGATGCAGAATTTTTTCCCATCCAAGTTTTGGATCTCCTGAATTCTACCCAGGGACTCTTAGGTTTTCACAAATCCAAAGTTAGAACATTTGTTCTATAGTCATTAGACCCCCAGGGGAAATGTCAACAGAATTTTTAAATCAATTTAATGTTTGTCAATTAGAAAGTATGTTGCAGAGTAATGTACACAATACAACCTCACTGCAGTGAAAACAAAAACACAAGATGAGATGTGTTTGTATGAGGAAAGGAAAGGTGTGGTGAGTTACACACCAATTTGTCACTTGACTGGGCAAAAAGTAGGGGGAGGGGACAGTTTATATTTTCTTATTGTAGCTCAGTATCATTTAGTGCGTTACAGTAAGTATATTCTTTTGTAGTTATTATGGATTGAATTGTGACCCCCCCCCCAAATTCACATACTGAACCCTCAATGTCATTCTCTTTATAGTTAAATGAGGTTATAAGAGTGAACCCCTAATCCAATAGGATAGCATCCTTATAGAGAAAGACTCAGAGGTATCTCTCTGCCCAGGCCCACAGAGAAAAGCCCATGTGAGTACAGAAGTAGTGAGGAAATTTCCTCCAAGCCCTCGGGGTTCTTGGGCTAGTGGAGCAATCAAATTAGCATCAGACAGATTAGTAGGAGGAAAAGCAATTTAATTACATATGTGTGGGGCCTCCCCGGTGGCGCAGCGGTTGAGCGCTGGGTTGCGAAGCTGCCGGCGACCTCTGCAGCGCCGGTTCGATCCCCGGCTGCTCCCCGGCCACCAGAGGAGGGTCCCACATGGCGCGCAGACCTCTCCTGCCGCCC